GGGCACCGTCTAGTTGTACTGGACTCAGTCTGGTGGAGGCTGCAGTAGTTGTGGTCCGTCAGTCCTTTGGACTAATTGACCCTCAACATTTTTAAAGCAGTGGGGGGAGGGGGGTTAGATACTGTCTGGCCCCTTACAGCAACAGTTTACAGACCCCTGGCATAAAAAAGTTGTCCCTAACCTGTTCTGAGATAGGGCCTTTTATATGGGGGGTGTAATTCTCAACCTCCTTCAAGGAAGAAATTAGCATTCTTAATAAAATGCTTAAGTAATTTTCTGATAAACTGTAAAGGGATTAAGATTTGCTCTGGAAAACCAGCCTTCCACCCACTCAGGTGACTGTCAGTCAAGAATCTTTAAGCGTTCTTTTTGTATCTCATCTAACAATGATTGCGTAACTATTTCTCCCTATCAGATGCCTATACTGAGAGTGAATCTTTGAATTGGCTTCTTAGAGGTCTTTTCCCATGCATTTAGGATTATAATACGACTTTCACACTATTAAGTTTTCTTTTTAAAATTGGTAGCAATTTTGAAGCTTTAGGAAAATTCCTTCAGAAACATTCAGGCATAAAACAGTTGCCTACAAAAGAATAACAAGGACAACAAAAGACTTCAGACTTCTCTTCTGTAGTACTAAATGCCACAGACAACATCTCTGAAGGAAAAGGCTGTGACTCCAAGTTCAGCCAAGGGGATCCTTTACATGCAGGGGCAGCAGAAAGATATTTTCAGATACACCTACACTCAGAAAAATACCGACAAACCTTTCCTGGAAAACTTAACTTATAGTTGCATTTCAGTTACCTGAGAGATGAATGAAGATAAAGTCTAGAACAGAGAAGTTGTGGTTAAAAAGGACTGGCGGTGAGCTATAAAACCAGTTAATCTCAGAGTTAAGTCTGAACAGCTAATTGTAGTTATATATATTAATGAAAATGTAAGAAAAACATACTCCTGTACTTAGAACCACTTCCTTTTCTGCTTTGATCTAAAAATCTCAGTGTGTATCAAATCTGGTAAGCAAACCAGTGAGGGGTGGGTGGTGGGGACAAAGAACATACATAGAAAATGACCAAAGAGGAAGCATGAGAGGAGAGGCACTAAAATTCTAGGGAAGCCCCACAGGAAGTTACTAAGGTGCAAATGATCAATAGAAAAACCCAGTTCCCCTCAAAGAACACTTCTAGGTCCCTTGAAATTCAAATTAGCGTTGTATAATTTATCGTTCTGAGTTGGAATTGAGTTTGTTTTTTGTAACTGAGAACTATTTGTATGATGCACAAATGAGACCAAGATTAAGGCCATGTTTGGAGTTCATCTAGTGAAACCTGAGGGGGAACTTCCGGTCACAGCATCAGCACGACAAGGTCTGGAAGTACTGTTACAAAGAACTTCTTCCTCTGAGGTGGTTCTCTTAAAAAGGGCTATGCTTCAGCTATCTTTGGTATCAAGGCACCTACCACTTTTCCCCCTACAATACTGGAGAAACCAAAATGTATTGTGGCATATCACACTGAGAGAATATTTCAGCCTTGAAAAGGAGAAGTGTCAACTACTGGAGCATGGAAAAATATCTCTAAAATAACATTTTACAGATAAACAGTTACAATGAAAAACTCTAAGTATGTTCATGATTAAAGAAATGGAAGGAGTCCTTGGGTGGTGCAAACGGTTAACTCACCTGGCTGCTGACAGAAAGGTTGGTGGTCAGAGTCCACTCCGGAGGCTCCTTGGAAAAATGAAAAACTCTAAGTATGTTCATGAAAGAAATGAAGGGAGCATAGTGAGACACAACATAGTGGTTGGGTTTGTGTTCAGCGCCATACTTTCCTCTGTCTTGAGGGTGCGTATTGCTGCCGCCCGTGATGTCCATGTTCTGTGTAAACTAGAATTAGGTCCACCAGAACTGGTTTCTCTTCTCTGTATGGCTGAGCTTAAAAGCCCTGGCTTTGTAAGTGTGGAATATGCCCTCTGGGTGTTTCTGTCTCTCAGAGCCAATCCTTCCTGATGGTAATTTATCAGCCCTCCATACCTTGATGCTATGGTATGTCTGTTTGATGGCAAGCAGAAATTCCTGTAGCAGCCTTGTCTAGTTTCCAATGCAGATGCCAGTGTCCCCTGCATTTTCTTTACTCTTGGCTGTTACAGTGGGAATCAGGAGGGCATTGTTTGGGGGTGGGGCTGTAATACTGCTTATGCTCACATCTCCATCCTGCCCTTACTTTCTCCTTAAGCTCCTGTCAAAGTTCTCTGCAACAAGCATCGCATGATTCAACATTCCTTTTATCAAAACTAAAATTTCAGAAGCTTTTCTGTACACTTTGCTACTCTCTAATCATCTGATTTGCATGTATTTATTATTCTAGGTTGGCAACAGAGATGATTCAAATCTTTATATAAATGTGAAGCTGAAGGCTGCTGAAGAGGTAAACTTAGACCAGGGGTGCCACCACCCCACTCCAACTCCCGCCCCACCCCAGTTCTGTCTTTTCCCCTTGCCCTTCGTGCCTCTCCCCATTAAAACTTTTATCACTTAAAGTAGACTTTATTTTGTAAGTCAGAAATGGGTGACTTGGAGCTATGACCTCTGGTTTACCCTTGAATATTTTCTCACCAATGATTTGCTTACTTCTCAAAGAGCAGGGACAGTGGGCATGAAATTGCTTAATTGCAGTGGTGATAATTGATAAGTAAATGATGAATGGGTCGAAATGAAGAGAGTAATTCTTCAGAACATGTAAAGGTGAAGTAATGACAAACACCCCTGGTTGGTTTTAGTTCTATCTGGAAAGAAATGGGCCCATGTCTCTAGTTTACTTGCCATTTACCTGCTTTACATGTTCGTTTTTCAGATTGGGATCAAAGCCACTCACATTAAGTTACCAAGAACAGCCACAGAATCTGAGGTGAGCCATTGTGCATCGATTGTTAAGAGGTCAGCTGAAGTGCTTTCCTCTCTGATTTTTGGCACTTTAGAGACTGATATGTTTAGCATATATAGATCTCCAGGTAATTCTTTTTTCACAGACTCTGCCTCCAGAAAATCCTTGAACATACCCACTGAGTAAATGTTTCAGTACTAAAGTATGAATGTTTGTTACTCAGAGTGTGGTTTTGGCCGCGTTTGCTTCCGGATCACCTGCGACGCTCATTAAAAGTGATCCCTGACTGAAGCCACTCCCGAAGGTCACCTTTCAGCCAAATAATAGATTGGCTTACCCATGAGTAGTATGTTCCCTTAAGCAAGCAACTGTATGAGACCAAATGGTCAACATTTACCCAGAAGTAAAGACAAGAAGGCAAGGAGAGACAGAGAAGCTAGATTAATGGAAATACAAGAAACAGAATGGAAAGAACGAGAATGCTGACACATTGTGAAAATTGTAACCAATGTCACAGAACAATTTGTGTAAAAATTGTTAAGTGGGAACCTAATTTGTAAACTTTCACCTAAAACACAATAAAATATTAAAAAAAAGAAGAAGAAGAAGATCCCTGGGTCTGTTTGTAGTTATCTGCATTTTAAAATCCAAATGTGTGTTCCATTTATATGACCTTCAAGAACAGGCAGAACGAATCAATGAAGATGTGGTTGCCCGTAGGTAGTAGGACTGACTGGAAAGGGGCAAAAGAGAAAGGGAACTTTCTGAGGCCATGGAAATGTTCTCTGTCTGCACTGTGCAGTATGGTAGATACTAGCCCTATATGGCTATTTAAATAAAATTTAAAATTCAGTTTCTCAGTTGCACTAGCCACATTTTAAGTCCTCAGTAACCACTTGTGGCTACGAAAAAAACCATACCTGTTGCTGTTGAGTCGATTCCGACTCATAACGACGCTATAGGACAGAGTAGAACTGCCCCACAGAGTTTCCAAGGGGTGCCTGGTGAATTCAAACTGCTGACCTTTTGGTCAGCAGCCTTAGCACTTAACCACTACGCCACCAGGGTTTCCACTTGTGGCTAGGGACCATTATATCAGAAGGTACAAGTTATACAACATTTTCACCATCACACAAAGTATTATTGGATAGTGCTGCTCTGTATCTTTATTTGGATAATGGTAACGTGGGCATTATTGTTGCATAATAAGTTATTAAAGTTCTTTGTTCTTTTATTTGATGGATTTCTTATTAGACACCTGGGGAATATATCTATGTTAAAGTAGAGTTGTGTTCAGGATTCAAGGGAAGGTGAAATTTGAGAAGACTATAATTTAACTCTTGGGGGAAAATGGGCAATCTGATTTTTGACTTGTAAAGTTTTTCTCCACCCTTTTGATTTGTATGTGGTCTGTAAGTTGTATATGATATTACTTTTAGGTGTTAAAGTGCATTATATCTTTGAATGAAGACCTCACTGTGCATGGGTTCATAGTGCAGCTCCCTTTAGACTCAGAGAATCCCATTAACACTGAAGCAGTGGTCAATGCTATTGCACCCGAAAAGGATGTGGATGGGTGAGTGTGGCTTGGTTTTCTGCATTGCATTGCATGATTCCATTTATAATGTATTTCTATTTTGGGACCACACGGTATTTGCTTCTAAAAAGGAAAGACACCTAACTACTTTATTTTCCCCTTATTTTCATCTATTTTATTGCTTTAGATTGACCAGCGTCAATGCTGGAAAACTTGCTAGAGGTGACCTAAATGACTGTTTCATTCCTTGTACACCTAAAGGATGCCTGGAACTCATCAGAGAGACAGGTAAAAATCAAACCAACAAAACCCAGGGCATCATTTCTTGGAGCCTGGTCTAGACACATGGACTTGATCGGCCCAAGGGCCTGTCTCCTTGGACTTTACCTAAATATTCACTTAATTTTTTCAACAACCCTATGAATAGGTACTGTTACTATTCAACGGCTGAGAAAGTAGGCTCAGAGAGATTAAGTAACTTGTCCAAAAGACTCAGCTGGTTAACCATAGAGCCAAGATTTATTTGACTCAAGGTTATTTGAGTTCAAAGCAATTTCTTTTTGTGAAAAAAATAACTTATGTAGCAATAAGAATTCAGATAATGTGAAAGGTTATAAAGTGAAAAGTCCCTACCACTGAAACAGGCACTGAGTTTCCATAGTAGTTCCAGGGTTACACAGATGGCTGGAAATGGACCCCTTTGATAGTTGGCCAGATTACTCCATTACCTAGTTAACACCTTGGTACTTTAATTTTATCATGAATACTTTTAAAGAAGTTATTATTTCTTTTTAGTGTGGTCAAATACATATAACAAAATTTGCAGTTTTAACCATTTTAAAAGGTATAGTTCAGTGGGATTTAGTATATTCACAGTGTTGTGAAACCATTACCACTGTCTAGTTTCAGAATATTTTCATCACCCAAAAAGAAACCCCATGCCCAGTAAACAGTCACTTCCCATTACCCCCATCCCCCAACTCCTGGCAGCCACTAATTTGCTTTCTAGCAGAGGTTATTTTTACAAGGAGGTGTGTCCTGTTAAAAGGAAATGGGTCAGAAGTTTCAAATAGAAAGTATTGGTCTGCTTATTTTTCCCCAAAGCATAAATGAAAATTTTGGTGGTTGACAAGAAAAGGTCAAGCTATAAGCCTTGGGACAGCTATTACTATTCCACCCTGAGACTGAATTTATATTCTACAGCATTTTTAGCAAACAATATGGCTACAGCTTGATAACAACAAATCCCATGGAGCTGTAGCAGCTATAGTTTTCCCACTTCCTCTTATTGATAGTGAAGCCGCCATTTGCCCTAATCCAACTTCAGGTCCTTTGCTGAATCCTAAAAAGTATAGTAAGTTAGCTTTTAAATATTTCACATCTTGAGAGCTTTCTCTCTAAATGTTCATGATATTAGCATTGAATAAGAGCTTATCTTTTTCTGATTAAGTTAATTTTATATAAGTAGCATGATTTCAGCACAAACTGCCTTAAGCAAGGGTCTCTTGCCTTCAGCCATGGCTGGAGGCATGAAGACCCAGTCCTCCAGATCTAATCTCTGCTTTCTTCTCTGTGGGCAATTTCATTCTTAGGCTGCACTTGGTGCCCCCGGGCAGATCCATCCTTAGGCCAAACAGTTGTAGAATTGGATCTCATTGGCTGGGGAAGAAGTATGGTCACTTGTCTGCTAAAGGTTGTACAATCAAACCATCTCTATTGAGTAAAGTATAAATCAGTCCTGGAAAGGACATTGGTATATCGCCAGTGAAGTCCCTGGGTGATGCATACAGTTAAGCACTCGACTACTAGCCGAAAGATTGGTGGTTAGAACCCACCTAGAGGCACTTCAGAAGAAAGGGCTGGCAATCTGCTTCCGAAAGGTCAAAATCTTGAAACCTCTGTGGAGCAATTCTTCTCTGACCCATGTGGGGTCACCATGAGTCAGGATCAACTCAACAGCAACTACAATATTGCCAGTGGATGCTGAATAGGCAAAAAGGAAAGCTTTCTACTGCAGTTAAATTTCCCCTTCCTTACTTTCCTGCAAGTAACCCTATGCCCCAGGCCCCAAGCCAAAAAGAAAATTTGGATGAGAAACTGCATATGTATACTTTACTGAACTTGGAAACAGTTACCAATACTGATCTCATTTTCTTCTCTTCTCTTCCACCCACCACATTTACATGCATCCTATTTATTATAACTGTTTGCCCTTATAATTAATTCTGATGCCTTCTTCCATATGGCTGTTAAGCTGTAAGTCAGGTTTTCTTTTTTTCTTTGAGTGTAGGTTTCTTCTTAACTCCCCTATGACTCAAAGAATGGATCTTGGCTTAAGCTGCACTCCAAAACCCACAGCAAGAAGGCCACATGTACAAGTCCCAATTTGTAGCTGAAACCCTAGAGTTGAGATTATTATCGCCAAAGAAGGAATGTTTCTATGGAGGTTTCTGTTTGACGCTTAAGAACCTGTTTTTGTGTATTGCTGTTCTGAATTTTCCCATTTGGGTGGCATGTGAAGGAAGGCAGCTTCCTTCTCTCAGCTCTGATGCATGCTGTCTTTTCTTTCAGGGGTACAGATTGCTGGAAGGCATGCTGTGGTGGTTGGGCGCAGTAAAATAGTCGGTGCCCCGATGCATGACTTGCTTCTGTGGAACAATGCCACAGTGACCACCTGCCACTCAAAGACTGCCAATCTGGACGAGGAGGTAAGGGGTCCAGAGTAGAGCAGAAGGTGGTGTATGTGTGTGTGTGTGTTCTCTTCCCATAAGGGGAATGGCTAACATTTGAGCGTCAGGCACTGCCATGTTCTTTGCCCTCATTCTCTCAATTTAACCCCTGTAACAATTCTTGACTGTTGTTTTGTTTTACAAAATTAGGAAACAAACTCAGATTAAAAATGTGCCCAAGTTTACTCAGCTAGCAAGCAGAGGAGCCAAGGGTTAGATGTCCTGAATGCGCAGCCATCACCACTCTCTAGTTCCAGAATATTTTCTTCACCCCAAAAGAGACCCTGTACCCATTAAACAGCCACTTCCCATTACCCCCATATTCTTCTGTCCATACTCTTTCTACACCAGTCTACCTTGTGGGAGATCAGGTTTACCAGTGCAGTTGCTGGGATTGAACCCTGGCAGCCAGATTGCATATTCTCACCAGTGGTGGCCTGCTGTCCACCACCTGTAGCATCTTTGGCAGCTTGTTCTTGACCTCTGCATTGACTTTGAGCCCAAGAAGTCTCGCCTTTACATGTCCCTGTTGACAGCACAAGGAGCCCTGGTGGTGCAGTGGTTCAGTGCTCGGCTGCTAACTGAAAGGTTAGCAATTCAAATCCACCAGCTGCTCCATGGGAGAAAGATGTGGCAGTCTGCTTCTGTAAATATTATAGCCTTGGGAACCCTATGGGGGCAGTTCTACTGTCCTATAGGGTCGCTATGAGTCAGAATCGATTCGACGGCAATGTTTTGGTTTTGGTTGGCTGACAGCACAGTCTCTTAGAGAGTAGGAGAGGGGCCAGCACTTTCTCTTTTAATCCTCTCAGAGCAATGCTCTGTGGAAGGTAGTGGTACCCACAGTTGGTAGGAGAGGGAACTGTCTCTAGTGTTAAATACTTCAGGGACGGTGCCCTAGGCCTATGTCTCCAAGCCTGTGCCCCCCTGTGCCCTGCAGGTTCTCATCGGTTCCCCCATTTGGTAACATCTGCAGTGAAAGGAGCGTCTCGTCAGGCGGTGGGGATGAACGCAGCACGTGAAGGGCTGTCGGACGTGGTGCGCAGCCTGCATTTTGGGCTTTAACCTATAAAATAGCTGATGCCAACTAAGAATTTAATACAGTGTTCAGGGGTGTCTTTCCACTTCTAGATTTTTGTTTATTTGTTCATTTCATTCTTTAATTTCTGAAGTCAGAATCCCCTTTCCCCAGGTAAATAAAGGTGATATCGTGGTGGTTGCAACTGGTCATCCTGAAATGGTGAGAGGGGAGTGGATCAAACCTGGGGCGATAGTCATCGACTGTGGAATCAATTATGTTCCAGGTGAGTGTCGCTGGGGGAGGAAAGTGGTTTCTGGTGGAGCGGTGGGTGGAGAAAGAATTATGTCTGGGTCTTTAAATAAAGCCTGAGAGAGAACCTCTTGTTCTGTTTTATGCTTGAACTTCTAAGGTTTAGAGATTGACTTGCCCACAGACACACGCAGTTAGTAAATGGTATAGTTGCTAAAGACAGGTCCACCTGATGTCAGAATTTTAACCACTGTAATTTTAACCACTGTGTTGTATAGCTCCCAAGATGATGTCACCCGTGGGGCGGGGGTAGATATCTCTTTATCTTCATGTAGAGATCACCCTTTATTTTAACAAAGGTGATGAGTGGATTTAAAATACAGTGTAATCCTTGCAACGTGCAATGCGAGTCCAGAAGAGGGACGCCTTCTGCCAGGAGTCCTCTAGGAGGGCTTTCTTAGCAATGATGTTTGATTCGGGCTTTTTTCCAGGCAGAGAGGATAAATTTCTCTGTTCTCTGTTGTCAGTGTCACCACAGACTGTTATCGCCTCAGCTGGACTCATAGACTTCTTACTGGTCTCCCCCCTCCAGCCGTTCCCCACTCAGAGCCATCTGCGTGCTTGTGCCTTGCCGCATTCACCTTGTGACGGGGACCTGGGAACCTCTTCCCCCCACGTTACTTGCCAGACTCCTTAGCTTCACTCTGTCGTTTCAGCCCACTTCTGCAGGCTTTTTTTCTCACTCACTCTCTGTGAATACCTGTCTTTAACTTTGGTAAAACGGGACCACTTACACTTCCCTGCACATACTGTCTGTCCTTTGCAAATTCCCTGCCTGCTTTGTTAGTGGAGCAGGCTGTCGTAGCATCGGGAAATTTTTCAAACAGGAAATTTGAAAGAACAATACAATGAATACCTGCATGGATACCTTGTAGATTCAAGAAAGCAACAGCCTTTAATTGAACACCTATTTCTGTGGATCAAGCTTCATGCCAGGCCCTGGGCTACACAATTGAATAAGGCTCAACTGTGACCTTTACCTTCAGCCACTTCCTTCCCGCCTCCTCTATGTCTGTAGAAATGCCCTTTCCTCCTTCCAAGCCTTGTCTGATTTCCCCACAACAAGGGATGATCTCTCCTTTTGAAAATCCTTCTCTCCCGCCTTCCCTTCCCATAGAACTTTGTGTTTCTTTGATCATTTTTGTGTTGCATTTGGCGTGAATCTGTGCTCTCTTCTACGAGAACCGACTCCTCACAGGCAGTAGTCTCTGTGGTGCCAAAACCAAACCAAACCAGTTGCCGTCGAGTCACTTGTGACTCGTGATGACCCCTTGTGTTTCAGAGTAGAACCGTGGAAGCAGATTGTCAGGGCTTTCTTCCGAGGCACCTCTGGGTGGGTTTGATCTGCTAACCTTTCAGTTAGTAGTCAAGTGCTTAACCATTTGTACCACCCAGGGGCTCCTTTGGGTGCAGTGTCCAGCTTTGTATCTTCTAATTACTAGCACTCAGTGTTGAATTGTGGAAGGGAGTTATAACAAGAATGATCTTTTTTCTCCCTTTCCAACTCAGGTTTGAAATACAGACATTAAGCTGCCAGGAACGTTAGTCACTGTCAAGTCTTCACTGTTTTTAACCTCCCTCCCACTCTCCCTACCATGCTTTTAAGACAGTAGCTCATAATTGATCACTCATTTTTTTGTAGTGTAATTATCTAATGGGTGATAAATTGCTCTCCTACAACTCCTCACTTTGAGTACTTGCAATATGACATTCAAGCTCATTCTGTTTAAAACCTTGCATCTTCTGTTTTATATTTCTTCTTTTGGCATTCTTTGTATTAGATATGAGCGATGGAAGAAGGAAAACCTGTGTGGGGATTTTGAGTCTTGCAGACAGATACCAAATGTTGACATAAACATGAAACTTACCATCTTGTTCATATTTATTCCTCACGTAGATGGTAAATATGAATAACAAAAAAGCAATATCCCCTCTCCTGATAAACTATTTTTGTTGTTCCTGGGCTTATAGCCCAATAAATACTGATAAGGCTGGCTTTTATTGTTCCCCTAAACCAAACCAAACCCATTGCCATCAAGTTGATTCTGACTCATAGCAACCGTATAGGACAGAGTAGAACTGCCCCATAGGGTTTCCAGGGAGTGGCTGGTGGATTTGAACTGCCAACCTTTTGGTTAGCAGCTGAGCTTTTAACCACTGCGCTACCAGGGCTCCTATTGTTCCCCAAGGGTGGCAAAGTCTCTAGTGAGTTACAGAGCAGTGGTGGGCTGGGGAACCTAAAAACTGTTCTTTGCAGATGTTCATTTTAGAAGCACCACATCCAACAACTGTGACCACTTCTTGGTTCAGATTTTCATTTAAATGATTTACATGGTACACTCAGGGATAACGTCATAAGTCACTTGCCAAATTAAGAACGAGTTAAGGTATGTACGTTTTTTTCAAAGAAAGGAGTATTTTTTGATTCAAGTGTGGAGCAGAAAGCTTTGGTCAGGGAAACATGTATAAGTGTTCTTCCTGCTTGGCTTACTAATGATGGTTTGAGAAAGGGTAGATGGACATAAAGTGTTTATGGAGGGCCCGGAGAAAGAGGGAGCAGATCCCTCATCCTATCCCAGTCCAGTCCAGTGCCTTCTATACTGGGGTCCCCAAATTAAATGTGAAGGAGTCAAGGCACTGCCGGTCTTAAGTTTTATTTGTTCATACAATTTCCCAATGAAAGGGAGATCCCAGGGCCAAGGTAGATAACCAAAATGTTTGTCCATTACTGAGACACTTAGGTTGAGGAATGCTTACTTTTTCCACTGGCCACATACACCGTCCATGAAACACTGCATATATCAGAGGGCACTCAAGTCAACCCTAACAGTGTTTATGATAGATTGTTAAGGAGCAAAACTGAGCTCATCCAGTGCAGCATTTAGTTCTCAGTTGATATATGTCTCCTATATACGGTAAAACTAAAATGACTGGTATTAAAGAATAGAAAGAGGAGCAGAGGGTATTTTGAGCTAACTTTAGGATTAGACTGTTGAAACCTGTACAAAGCGCAAACTGTAGTTCCTTGGCATTTTGAAACTTGACTTTAGGGGTTATGAGAGGAAATGTTCTGTCCTAGCCTGCTGTTTTATAATCTTCCAGAAACCTGAAACTATCCCAAGGAGTTATGTTTACCAGCTCCTTATGGTTATACCAGTACATATAAAAAATTTCTTACGTATCTAGGACGGGAAGAGAAATCCTTATGTTTGGAGAATGCTTTTCCAATTTCAAGAATGTGCACATTTTCTTATTTGCTTCTTGGCCACCTTGTGAAATTAAAAAAAAACCCAGTTGCCATCAGGTCAGCTCATGGTGATCCCAAGTGTGTCAGAGTATAACTGTGCTCTGTAGGGTTTTCAGTATCTGATTTTTTGGAAGTAGATTGCCAGGCCTTTCTTCTGTGGTGCCTCTGGGTGGACCCCAACCTCTAACCTTTTAGTTAGCAACCAAGTGCATTGGTAGCGTTAATCCTTTGCATCTTTGGGCTTCAGATAAATATGGAGCCCACAGGAGCTGTGTACTAAGAGTAGAAGAGCTGATCCTATAGCCTGGGTCTCTTAATTTTGGCTTCTTGGCTACTTCTTGAAGCTTCCTGCCTCAGTTGTGAAAATCTGATCACAGAAAAGTAATGATGTGGCTCAGATTCTGCCTCAGGAGCCTTAGCCTACAAGGTCTAGCCCTATCCCCCAGCCCCTCCCAGAAGTGCACTGAAGCCAAGTGTAGGATGTTCTTTGTGCGAGTGAGAAATGATGCATCACTGGGTTTTGTTCTCTTGAATAGCTCTTCTGTGCTGGTAAAATTTGTAGTTATTCTTGTATCCTTTTAAGGGAAGTGTAATTATATTCTTTCCCTTTAGCATACGTTTAAGTAGCTGCTTGTCTTTGGAATTGGATTGTTGAATTGTTCCTCCAGCTCATGCATGGAGCTTACAAAATGCTGACAGTTGCTGTAGAAATGGTATCTGGCAGCTGTGACATAGTTGGCGCTTTATGCACCCAAAAAATTCCTTTGTAGACCTCACAAATTAACATTTTAAGAAGTGGTTGTTATATATCTGGTAGTTGGTTTTAAGAAACAGTTGGTATTTTATTTGCCACCTGATGGACTACAAAAGGATTCTCCTCTCGTTCTAAAAAAAAAAAAGGACGTTAAGCATCTTGTGCATTTTTTGCAGATAAAAGCATTTTCTCCCTAGGAAATAGCAACACCTGTCATCCTATAGCTTTTAAGTAAAGTAGGCACTTGATCCTGATGGAACTACAAAACCTAACTTCTATTTAGATTCTGGAACAAGCTGTTGTAATTGATTGATTAACTTAGAAATAAACACCAGGGTTGCAATTCTGAGACTTGGCTTTGACTTTCTTCCCTTGAGCAGATGATACAAAACCTAATGGGAGAAAAGTTGTGGGTGACGTGGCATATGATGCGGCTAAGGAGAGGGCGAGCTTCATCACCCCTGTTCCTGGTGGCGTCGGGCCCATGACGGTGGCAATGCTAATGCAGGTACTTGTGAATAAAAGTTTCCATGATCATCCTAAGAAGTGGATAGAATTCAAGTAGAATTCAAAATTCAAGTTAGTGCTTTTCCCCCAAGTAGAAATACCATAAGATATACTTAGAAGCTAAGTAAGGATGTGACTCTGTTGAAGGGAAGAAAAAGGGAATGGAAGGACAAAGAAATAGAATCAGTCACATTAATAGAGGGAAGCAGAGATGGCACCATTCTAATGTACTTTGGAGTTTAATAACTTCCAAAAAAGAAAACGGCAAGCACATTGACCTTACTAGGTATGCCTTGGCTTGCTTGCTCTTTTTCACACAAAAGCAGTCCCAGAGCATTTTAGGTGCCTGTAGCCTCTTGCCTGGTATTGAAACATGTTTACAGGTAGATCACAAAGCAGTTAGCTTTGTAATTCAACTGGAGTGTCCTGGGCTTTCGAACAGAGGTGGAGGTTAAAACAATTACCTCTTTTAAGTTCCATTTACGTCATTTTGTTTAGAGCACAGTGGAGAGTGCAAAACGTTTCCTGCAGAAATTTAAGACGGGAAAGTGGGTGATTCAGTATAACAGCCTTAACCTGAAGACACCAGTTCCAAGGTAAAAAATAAAATTTTGCAGATTTAAAATGTGGAATTGTTGGTTTTTAGCTAACAGATACCATGGATACACGTATGCTTCCCTTTGAAAGCACCACCAGTTGAGGGGGAGGAAAATTACTGTTGTTGCTGGGTTCCATGGAGTCAATTTCGACTCATAGTAACCCCATGTGACAGAGTGGAACTGCCCCATACTATTTTCTAGGTGTCATCTTTACAGAAGTAGATCACAAGGTCTTTTCTCCCACGGAACCGCTGGGTGGGTTTGAACTGCCCACCTTTCAGTTAGCAGCCAAATGCTTAACCATTGCGCCACCAGGGCGTTGTCAGTGTGGGATTAATTCAGTTCAGTGAATGAAGATTGATGTAAATTTTCTACATTTCTTTTAAGTGACATCGATATATCACGATCTTGCAAACCAAAGCCCATTGGTAACCTGGCTCGCGAAATCGGTCTGCTCTCTGAAGAGGTGGAATTGTATGGTGAAACCAAGGCCAAAGTTCTGCTTTCCGCGCTAGAACGCCTCAAGCATCAGCCTGATGGAAAATATGTGGTGGTGACTGGGTATGGTTTTCATTCATTTTGCTGATTGAATGCCCATACTGTTATAATCATGGATGTTATTACCAGAGGTTGCACTTAAACACTTAACACATATATGTGAAAGATTCCTTTAATTTGGTTTTGACATTTTCACATGTATCTTATCTCACTTGACCCTCATAATAGCCCCGTGAGGTAGGTAAGAGTAGATTATAATTTTTTAGAGATGTGAAAATTGGTCAAGTTTATCCAGCTAGTTTATGGAAGGGTTGAGTCTTAAAACCTGGTTTTCAGATGGAATTGCCTTTTTCTTTCAACCCAAAACTCATTAATTCATGAGCTCTACTGAGCAGTCATTTTTATTGCTGGGCTGGTTTTTAAGGTTATAAATTGAGAAATTAAAGTTATAGCAGTGTGTCTTTACAAGGTAAATATATTTGCTCCTTACAGTGAAAAGAGCTGAAATACAGCAGTCTTTTCATTTAAAATTTTGGGGAAATATAGCTAAGAGTCTTGGAAAAGATCACTTTCAGGCCTTTTGTCTTCCTTGTTATTTGGATTAAGAGTCATTCTGTAGAATCTGCTAAGTCTGACTTAGTGATTCAGATAAACTTAATTCTATAAACAAACCTTTATCTCTTTGCTTTCATCTTGAAGAATAACTCCAACGCCCCTGGGAGAAGGGAAAAGCACAACCACAATTGGGCTGGTGCAAGCCCTTGGTGCCCACCTTCATCAGAATGTATTTGCTTGTGTGCGACAGCCTTCTCAGGGCCCGACCTTTGGAATAAAAGGTATTAGTGGGCTAGAGCCGGGGTGGTTGGTTCTCCCTGGCCCACTCAACCTTTGAATGCTTATAGGTTTTTACCTCATTTAGACACATGGAATGTCCTCCTTACACATCCCCGTTGTGTTGCTTTTGGGGAAGGGTTTCATCAGATCATCCCAATCCTGCTGTCACTATTAGACATTGTACAGGGATTCCCTGGCATGGGTAATGCCTAGCTGGTGGTGCTTTTATTTGACCCTAGTAGTCAACTGTCACACTAACAGTAAAAGTAATCATAGCTACTGATCATCATGCTGATTTTGTGAAGACAAAGACAAATCCCATACATATTTCACCCTGTTAGGGATAAGAAAAGCCTTCTGAGTGTATTCTTTGTGCCAGGTTTTGTGCTAAGCAGTTTGTGCACATTATTTTATCCCCTGATACGAGATAGCTAGTATTATCACCATTTCACAATAGTGGCAACTGAGACTTCAGAGGTAACTTGGTCAGAGACCATTATTAAGCATCAGTATGGGGCCCCCACATCTTTACTTCAGAGCTTATAATTATTTCAAATTCTAAAACAATACTATCAGTACAGTGTTTCTTCTTCTGATTATATAAAAACACAACGTCAGTAATCATACTATACCTTCAACTTCTGAAACCTGCAGTACTGTAACCGTACTCTTAATTATTTTCATTCATTACTAGTGGGCTCTTGCAGAGTTGTCTTTCTCATTTGCACGGTGTCAGGGTAGTCACATATTCTGCTTATTCTAGCACTTATTACTAATGTTCACACAGGCTATACCTTTGCCCTTCTTCTGCCTATCATTTTGTTAAATTTTATGCATGTGCTGACTCAGTTCTGCTTTTGAGCTTGTCTTAATAGTCCGCTCTTGACTTCAGAATGAGTCTTTTCTCTTGTTCTGCTTTTTGAACCCAATATTCTCCTTTTCCTCTTGTTATGAGTTACCCCATTGCATGGTCTTTGCCTCACAAAAGCCACAAAATCTATACCCCAAACTGACCTTGCTCTCACTGATAACCTAGTAACCTGGACATTTTTGACTGGCCTTTGGATAATAATACAAATGGGCCAGCAATAATGTAGCATTTAAGCTGTTTTCTAACATGTCTCCTATTTGGAAGGAATTGCAGTCTCTGTATTTGTGTTATTATTTTGTTGTTTGTGTTAGGTATGTGTTTTAAATATTCTTTTTTTAAAATGCCAGAGTAGCATTTACAAGAGTAGGAAATGGAACAAGTTTGCTTTTATGTAACTGTAGTCTGAGTCTTTTAACGAATATTAGGAATCATGGGTGGAACCTGTTTCTAAAGGTAATGAATATGTATGCGTTCATGATTTTGTCATTTAAAACTCAGATTTCAGTTGAGAGACTGTGCAGCCTGAACAAGTGTTTTAACTTGGTTAAAGAAAACTAGAAAACAGGTTATCAAATCTGTCTAAATGTAAATAAATGTGTCTCAAAGGAAAATAATAATAATAGGCTTAGTAGTTTAAAAGTAAAACAAAAAAACTGATCTACTTTTAATTGATTTCCAAGTCTCAGAAAAGCAGCCTTAACATGAATCCTCACCCTTGACCCGTCCTCTAGGTGGCGCTGCAGGAGGTGGCTACTCACAGGTTATTCCTATGGAAGAGGTAAAGTATTCCGGGATTTGATTGAATCAGATCCTTTATTATGGGTTTTCCCTCCAGAGATTAACTTTTTTGTAGAGTTCGTGGTGGACAAGAGACTTGTTTCTCAGCAGGAGCAACATTTAAGGGAAAAATATCTTAAATTGTAGACTTACGAGTCAGCTTGGTTTCTTGGCATGCCAAGGACTTCAAAGTCTGGCTTGTAGTGGGAATAATAGTTTTAAGCAAGTGATGAGGTTGGGAAGAACCCACATCTGGAGAAGTCAGAGTAATAGTTACAGCAGTGAAAGCAGTGCATACAGACACAGAGTTCTTGCTGCTGTAGTGTATGCCTTTTCACTCACTGCTTCAAGGACAGTGAGTGTGTCCTCAGGGACCCAGTGTTGCTGTTGACCCCGGTGGTGTGGAGTCTGTGGTTTCTGGACATGTCGTTTAGGGAAAACCGCAAGTTCTGAGTTTGGGAGGAGTTTCTTCTGAAGACAGTAATTTGTGTTTTCAGGAGCTATCTAAATCTGATGTTTGTCCACTGGCTGTGCTGCCACCAGTGCTCCCTGGCTTTATCCTGGGGATTGGTTTGGTTGCCATAGAATGAAGGTTGAAAAGATGCAGACCAGTCGAGAGATCAGTGTGGCTTCTGTTCTTTCGTAGTTTAATCTCCACCTCACAGGTGACATCCATGCCATCACTGCAGCTAATAACCTCGTTGCTGCAGCCATCGATGCCCGGATATTCCATGAACTGACACAGACAGACAAGGTAGAGTGCTGCTGCCCCATGAGCCCCATGAGCACTTTTGAAAGGGTTGAAGCACTTGAAGTAGTGTTGGTCCCTTGAGTGCTGATGATGCAGGTAGCAAGGCAATGGGGTTTCTCTGATTTAAAAGCCCTTTTTCTCCTTAAAGGCTCTCTTTAATCGTTTGGTACCGTCAGTAAATGGAGTGAGAAAGTTCTCTGATATTCAAATCCGAAGGCTACAGGTAAACTTTTTCCTTCTTTAATTTTGATATTGTATGAAATTTGATAATTGACCAAGAGGAAAAAATCCCCTTAGGTTAGCCTATTTTGGATCAATAACCAGAGTCTTATATGCATAGCAAGGATTGGTGGTAGAGATTATTTCTCATTTGCCTATGAATTATAAATGGCTGGTCCTGGAATAAATAGAGTACTGACAGCCCACCCTCAGCTAAGAAGAAAACTGACCCCTGTAACACTTAAAGAAGTCAGGATGGCATCATGCCGCTTTGGGGACCTTTAAGCAAATTAGTTACATAACTTGTCTCTCAGTTTACTCATTTGTAAAATGGGGGTAATAATATCTGCCTTGCCGTGCATAGGAGCCCTGTTGGATAGGAGCCCTGGTGGCACAGTGGTTAAGAGCTTGGCTGCTAACCAAAAGGTCAGCAGTTCGAATCCACCAGCTGCTCCATGCAAACCCTGTGGGGCAGTTCTACTCTGTCCTGTAGGGTCGCTGTAAGTCAGAATTGATTCAAGGGCAATGAGTTTGGTTTGGTTTTTGGTTTGGTGGTGTAGTAGGAGCCCTGGTGGCGCAGTGGTTAAGAGCTTGTCTGCTAACCAGAAGGTCAGCAGTTCGAATCCACCAGCTGCTCCTTGCAAACCCTATCGGGCAGTTCTATTCTGTCCTGTTGGGTCGCTGTAAGTCAGAATTGACTCAAGGACAATGAGTTTGATTTGGTTTTTGGTTTGGTGGTGCAGTAGGTGCCCTGGTGGTGCAGTAGTTAAGCACTCAGCTACTAACCAGCAGGTTGGCGGTTCAAACCCACCAGCCGCTCCTCAGAGGAAAGATGTGGCAGTCTGCTTTTGTAAAGATTTATAGCCCTGGAAATGCTATGGGGCAGTTCTACTGTGTCCTGCAGGGTTGCTATGAGTTGGAACCAACTCAATAGCATACAACAACAAAATTTCATAAGCATACAACAACAAAATTTCATTTGAATTGGGCTTCTCAATGGACTGATTGAAACAAAAGCTTTACACATTGCATTTCCTTTCAGTTTGTTTGGGTTTGGTGAATTAGGAAGTGTGGATGTGTATTACAACACTTCTTGGTCACTACACTTGTTTAGGGTTGACCTTAGGAAAATGCCTCTAGTGCTCAGATGTTGGAGTAAACGTGTTAATAATGCCTTTGTACCTGTCTGAGTAGGAAATCCCCACTATGTTTAACCAAAAGGAGCACAGTTTTCCCTTTGGAATTTAAGATGGTTTGTATTTCCCAGAAGAGATCCTATTTTGAGATATACTAGGTTTAAAAAATTTTTTTAACGTATTATGCTTTTGCTTATTTTGTCTTATTTTATGTCTTAATTTTCCTACTTCTTCAGAGACTAGGCATTGAAAAGACCGACCCTACCACACTGACAGATGAAGAGATAAACAGATTTGCAAGACTGGATATTGATCCAGAAACTATAACTTGGCAAAGAGGTACCAGAGTGCCCAGTTTGACTTGGTTGTCTTCACACCCTACACCCTCCCAAAGAGTTGTTAAAATGCAAGGTCCAGAGGCTTGTGTGTTGGTATTTTCATGGTGAATGTATGACCAAGATGGTGACTTTCTCCTTTTGTTGGAATGACTGAACATTTTGCTGGCTATTCAGTGTTAATTGAAAGACTGGTTTCAAGGAATCTCTTGTGTGAATGAAGAATACAATTTTACAAGTTTCATTTTATGCAAAAAGTTTTTATGTCATGAAGTAGGGAAATTATTGCCTTCATTCTCAGAACTCTTGTCTGGCATAAGTGATTTGATTTTTGTTGTAACTCTGTAGTTTGCCTCCTCATTTTTATCTCATTTTATTAAACCCTCTTGTTACAAGTTAGCTAACTTTCAAGGTTTAAATACTTAGCAACTTGGTGGGTGAGTTGCCTGATGTCACTGCCATATGTTACTTTTCTGTATATCCAACTAAGCATGACTTAGAATTTTATTTTTTACCAACAGTGCTTCCATCTATCCTATATCACTGCTGAGAAGGAATTTTTACCCAGTTGTGCTGAATGCAGCTAGGGGCTAATTTATTGGCAGTTTTTGTGATTTTCATTGGCTGAGTAACTGCTGGCAGCTAATGGCATTTTTAAGTTAATACTGTTAATAGCTAAAATCATATTTGTGTTTCTCTTCTCTTTGCTTCAGAGGCTTTAGACAGATGATACAATATTTTATAAAGAATAAGCTGAAGGTCCATTTTGAAATTTTAGAATCTCATTTACTTTTCTTTTGCTTTATGTCTAATTTATGCCTTCTAAGAAAGTAGGAACGGACAAATTAAAAAATAAGACTGGCTATTTTATACAGAGAAATTAGATGCACGGAACTTGACTATTTTTTTGAAAAATAAGAGTAGCTCTCAGTAACACATTACATTGTCGAGTATGTATGTGTTGGGTGGGGGGGCTTGTATATTTAATCAGTGATAGCCAGTGATGTGCAAGACACTGCTTTTGGTATTTAAATTGTTACAGTCTTTTTGGGAAATAATTTGGCATGTTACCAAGTGCCTTAAAATTGCCCTGTTTGACCTATTTCGAGTATGAACTGGTTTGTTGTTGTTGTCTATTTCTGTTCATTTTGTATTTTGTTATTTTTTTGCATGTCATACAAACAAAAGTGGCAATATAGTAAAATGTTAACAGTAGCTGTAGCCTCAGGAGGCGAGATTAAAGTTGGTTGATTGATTGGTTGATCTTTGCCATGATTTTCAAAGTTATACAATTGGATATATATTCTGTTATCAAAATAGAAGTTATTTCTTCTTCTAAGTGTATTAAAGGAGAGCCTGGGTCTATTACCCAGCATGTTTCAAAAGGCATTTGCACTTGCCGAGTTGATGGCTCTTGTGTTTCTAAGGATGGGGTTAGGTCAGTGAGTCATCCCCCGCAACAACAACATCAGTCTTGGCCTTTTGAAAAGATGTAGCCTGCTCTGTTTTTCTTGTAATACAGAATATGCTTTAAAATAGATTCCAGATTTATAGTTGTTTGAATTCTCTAAACAGAATGAAACCATATTCCTTTGCTTTGAAAATAATTCCTGTATATATTTATGGTATGTGAATATCATTTCTTAACTTTACCCCATATTCTGGGTTTTCTGTCATCTTTGAAATCAAATATTGAGATAGTTATTAAATTAGACTTATTGCTTTAAAGCTCTGCTGGTGCCTTTAATTTTATGGTCCCTTTATTAAAATTTGTTTCTTCCTTTTCTTCTGTAGTGTTGGATACCAATGATAGATTCCTGAGGAAAATCACAATTGGACAGGCTCCAACGGAGAAAGGCTACACTCGGACGGTAACTATTCGTTTCTTTCCAAGTAAATTAGTTCGTATGAACCAGATCCTTGCCTCTTCTGTCCTCCTCCATCCCCTTCCGTACGATTGATACTGCCAGGTGTTGTTCTGCCTTCTCTCTTTTAAAATGGAAGTGAGTGGGCGTGCAGTATTGAGCGCTCCTGACAGCCTCTGCAATACATCCCATGTGTCACCTCTGTTTTTCCTCCAGCATTTTTTTCCTGGAGGTGGAGAGCCCCAAGTGAATATCCTTGCACATAAATGGATTAAAATTGCTTCATTTTTGATGGCCATTTTGCAGTATGTCTCTTCACTGTAGGAGCTTCCATCTTGTTTCCTTGTACATTAGGGAAACCATAGCCACGTGATTACGAGCGACTGTTACAGGAATAAATAATAGCTTGTTGGTCCTACTACATTTATTTTTTAAAAATTGGCTACTCAAGGTCTTGGGATAATTAATTTTAAAAATATTTTTTATTGTACTTTGGATGAAGGTTTGCGGAGGAAATTAGTTTCTCATTAAACAATACACATTGTTTTGTGACATTGGTTGCCAACCCCACGACATGTCAACACTCTCACCTTCTCGACCTTGGGTTCCCCATTACCAGCTTTCCTGTTGCCTCCTGCCTTCTCATCCTTGCCCCTGGGCTGGTGTGCCCATTTAGTCTCATTTTGTTTTATGGGCCTGTATAATCTTTGGCTGAAGGGTGAGCCTCAGGAGTGACTTCAGTACTGAGTTAAAACAGTGTCTGGGGCTCATACTTCGGGGTTTCTCCTAATTGAAAATTTTTGCTACCAGTTGCCGTTGAGTGTGATTCTAACTCATGGTGACCCCACATGTGTTAGAGTAGAACTGTGCTCCATAGGGTTTTCAATGACTGATTTTTCAGAAGTAGATCACCAGGCTTTCTCCTGAGGCACCTCTGAGTGGACTTGAACCTCCAGCCTTTCGGTTAGCAGCTGAGTGCATTAACCATGTGCACCACCCAGGGACTCCAAAATTTTTGCAACTGAAGGATTATTTTCATTAAGTTCTTTATCTTTGTTTAGTATTCTGTTATTCTACCCTTTTAAGCTATTTGTTTAAACATAGGATGCATAAAAGGACTACTTGTGTGATTCACCATTCTGTTAACATAGTTTTCTCTAGTGTGTCTTTTCCTTGCAAACAGGCCCAGTTTGATATCTCTGTGGCCAGTGAAATCATGGCTGTCCTGGCTCTCACCAGTTCTCTAGAAGACATGAGAGAAAGACTGGGAAAAATGGTGGTGGCTTCCAGCAAAAAAGGGGAGCCCATCAGTGCCGAAGACCTGGTGAGTGCCAGCCACTCTGGGCTTGGCGATATATCTGTGTCCGTTGTCCTGGGGTCTCTCGGAGGCACTGATGACAAAAATTATGCTGTGCTTAAGATGTTGCAGTTAACTAATCAATAGGATTTTGCTATTTACAAGATAATTATGGAATTTATAAAATAATTCGTAGTGAGTAATAGGTGAATAATGAAGCCCTGGTGGGGCAGTCATTAAGAGCTCAGCTGCTAATCAAAAGGTCAGCAATTCGTATCCACCATCTTCTCCTTGAAAACCCTATAGGGCACTTCTACTCTGTCCTATAGGGTTGCTATGAGTTGGAATCAACTCGATGGCAGTGAATGTTTAATAGGTGATATGCTCCAGTAACAGCCTTCAAGTTTCCAGTGGTCCGAGCAACATCTTTATCCTGTGAGTATCTTCAAGAGAAGGTGTGTGACTTCAGTTTTTGGAGAACATCAGAAGAGTCCAAATGAGGCCCTTGGTAACTGCTAACTGAGCTTGGTGTCACACACTGGTCCCAACCCAGGACACACGGCTTTCTGCACAGAAGCCTCTTGTTGTAAGGCCCTTGGCCATCACATCTACACTGATAACTGGATTGGTACATTTGAAGCAACTCTTTGTTAATCACCTGAAAACCCGATGTTCTCCTGCTAGGCTGGTTTTCTGCTTAAGGGTTATTTCTGCACTGTCTGTATGTTAATTGGTTTGAAATGAGAGTTTCTGTAGGTTAGTTTTTTCTAACCCTGTTTGGGTTGACACAAACCAACATTGTTGGCCTATAATTAGTGGTATGTTAGATAAATTTGGAAAAGGAGAAAAATTAATTGCCTGTTTTCATACTTACTGGGTAAGAAAAGAAATTGTTTTAAATGCTAACACCCAAACCAGAAATTTAGAGTCTTTGGAATTGAATCTAATTGGACACCATTGCTTTATTTTACTTTGCTACCAGTTTGCTCCGTTTTGGTTGGATTGCTTGAAAGGGAGACCTGATATTTAAGACTTGATCTTGAACTCCTGGGTAAAATTTTAGTTTCAGCTTTGAGAAATAATCTGTTGAATTTGGTTTATAGCCACTTCTGCCCAGACACCAAAGGTACAAATAACTCAGTACTCTAGGAACTCGCATTTCCCTGCTCTAAAATGGTTTCCCCACATGAGTCAGCAACAAAGCTTTATTGAGATGCTTGTTTCCAGGGTTACATGTTTTTCTAAAAATTGCATGTGAATGTCGTTTTCATCCTGTCAGTTCTCTCTGATTAAAATAACTGGTAACTTCTAAAAGATCTGGAAAAAAAACCAATGGATGGTCTAGTTCAGGTGAAAGTCCTAATTGGTCCAAGATGGCTAAAAAGGGAAGACCTATAAATGTTGAACGTTGGTGCCAGAGGTTGTTTTTTGCTGGTGGGAGTTGACATGTCATGTATGTGTTTTGTAGGGAGTGAGTGGTGCCTTGACGGTGCTTATGAAGGATGCTATCAAGCCCAACCTCATGCAGACCCTGGAGGTGAGTAGAGTGGTCACAGAGCACACTTTTCTTGCGGAGTCAGAGACCTTCTCCACCTGCTCGTCTTTCTTCCTTTTCTTTCTCACAGTTCTGACTGGGATACTGTTGAAATATAGAAAGAGGTGGCTTTGTGTTTTCCCTCTGGGAAGTCTTTTTATTTTGGATTCCAACTAAATTCCGTACCTTTGACTGTGTGATCTTTTCTTTTTTTTTTTTAATTGTGGTAAGTATGTGACAAAACATTTGTCATTTCATCAGTCCTCACATGTACAGTTCAGAAACTTTAATTATGTTCATCATGTTGTTCAGCCATCACCCTTAGCGATCCTATTTTGAAGCAGGATTGGGAGCTGCCCTTCTGATGTCTTGATTTCCACAGGGCACTCCGGTGTTTGTTCATGCTGGACCATTTGCCAATATTGCACATGGGAATTCCTCTATCATAGCAGACCGGATTGCACTCAAACTTGTTGGCCCTGAAGGGTTTGTAGGTGAGTAGTTTTGCAAAATCGGTGAATAGACTGTTTTTTTTTTTTTTTCCCCTCTTTCTTTTATTTTAATCAAACAACATTAGGGGAATTGGGATGGCATTTTTACCGTTGCTTTTCTCCTTACTTACAGTGACTGAAGCAGGATTCGGAGCCGACATTGGAATGGAAAAGTTTTTTAACATCAAATGTCTATATTCTGGTCTCCGCCCTCACGTGGTAGTGCTTGTTGCCACAGTCAGGGCTCTTAAAATGCACGGGGGCGGCCCCACGGTGAGTAACAAGGGTTAGAAGGGTCTGGTTGTCAGGAATTTTCTGAAGGCTAAAGGGAATTCAGATGGCTTGTGCTTGTGTCTTTAAGCTGCTCTCATCTTTGTCATGATTCATAGGCTGCCAAGAGCAAGTGCTGGTCAGATGGCTCTCATGATGGCCACCTTTCAGTCGTAGGTGCTGTCAGCTCTTGTTATTTTAAGAGGGCTGAAATTGGCTTCGTGGCCTACCTTCCTGAGGAAAACATCTGATAATACCTAAACCCCTCCAAGGACATGTGCTCGACTATACCACAAAACTCCTTCATGTTCCCACTGTTCTTTTTAAGTCTGAATTCCATTTTCCCTTTGAATAATGACACTGGCAGCCAGCCAGCTGAGCCATTTAGCCAAGACAGAGGTGAACCCCTTCTTGAGTAGTACGTATATACGACAAGACCACTAACAGCCTGGAGTGGGAGGGGAAGAGAAGGGGAATGGTAAGACGCTCAGGGCAGCCTCTGAGTAATAAGGAGAAAAAGAGGCTGAGACAAGCGTAGCTTCAACTCCAATCTGAACTTTGTGTTTTCCTGAATTCCTACTTATTAGAAATTGAACCTTTTATCCTAGTATTTAACACCTTTCTTCTAGCACCTGCATGTGAAGACATGGTGCTAGTTTTCAGAAATATTTGAAGAAGTATTAAATGCCTATCTTCAAGCAGCTTGTATGATAACTAGGGAAATAAGACCTCCCTCAACATACAGAATAAAATCTGTTCCTTAGTGTTGTGATCGGGGTTTTTCCTGATAATATAGCAGTTCTCAAGTGTTTGGTCTCAGGACCCCTTCATATTCTTACAAATGATTGAGGGCCTGAAAGAGCTTATTTATGTGGGTTATATCTATTGCTTTTCACTATATTAGAAATTAAAATGGAGTTACATATTAACATAAATAACATTTTTTAATGAAAAGTCTCTGTATTTTCTAACACAAAATTTAGGCATTGTGTTCCTATATCTGACTTAATTGATGACAACTATGTTCTCATCTTTTCCATCCAAGCTGTTGTGATATCACATGTCCCGTAATTTTTGGAAAAGTCCATTGTACACTCATAAGAGAATGAGAATGAAAAAGGCCAATAGTAGTATTATTGTGGAAATGGTTTTATCTCAGAGACTTGCCTGAAAGGTGAAGTCCCCAGACCACACTTTGAGAACCGTGGCTGTCATACACCCAGCACACCTCTCTAGCATTAGCTGTCCCTGAAAGACCAAAGGCACTTCTGGCCCAGGACTCCCCTTTATGCTAGTAGTGCAGAATAGGCTCCCTTCTCCTTCTCTGTTGTAACCGACTCTCACACCCTTCTTCACATTCCCTCACTCAGCCTCACACCATTGCACCTCCTTTCCTTCTTTCCTCGCAACCTCATGGTCTGAAGAATAATAATGCTGGGAACGTAATCTAGGCAGCACTGAGAGGAGGGCTTCACACATACAACTCTGTCAAACCTGTTGTTCAGCACTGCTGCTCACGTTAGCTTGTAAACAGAAAGCTCCAGGTAATGCCCCGAGCATGGCAGCTCAGGTCCTTGCATCCTGGCTCACCCCTCCCAGCGCCGCGTCTGAGCATTGGAGCACTATAGTTTCCCTGAGGAATTGAAGGGGACGAGGCTGAAGGCCTCTTAATCACTGTCTGTTGCCCACAGCAACTTCTGCTCTCTGGGGTCCATTGTATTCCCTGTCTTCAGCCCCCCACACTTGTCCCTCTCCTGTAACTGAAGCAAGGCTGGGTCACCACACAGATCAGGACATGGGGCAGACCAGTCACCTCAATAACGGTGAACTCACTGCTTAAGTGTTTTGACACCTTTAAGATACTCTATGATAGAAAAGGAAAATCCATTCTGTGGTGTTTTTCCTTCTTATTTGTATTGTTCCTGCACCAGAGTTTGGGTATACTAAGACTTGCACTACAACGTGGGTTGGCTTTATGGACCAAACTTGGTGAACCCATCACAGGCCTAGTCAGAGACTCTACTTACAGACATTTCGGGGTGGCCTTTGCAGGCTGACAGCTGCCTTTTTCCCTGTAGTCACCTTTAGCTCCACCCCCACTGTGTGTCCTTTACTCACTGAGGTTATTGCCCTGCCTAGAGCACATTCTTTCTTTCTGCCTTCATAGATCCATCCCTTCTCACCTCCTTTAAGAGGCTTTACACCATCCCAGGCCACAAAGGTCTCCCCTCTGCTCAAAGCAGTCATTTTGTTCTATGCTGTGTGACTGGCCATGTGCCTGAAATCTTTGAAGGTGTGAACCAGCCCTAGCCCGCTGTATACTCCCTGAAGCATGTGGCTTGTTGCCTTCACAACACAGCAAGCACCACTTTAAGGTAAAATCTAATTGTAAATAGATAATGTCTCTGACTTGGTTTCCTTTCCTTCCAGGTCACGGCTGGACTGCCCCTACCCAAGGCTTACACAGAGGAGGTAACTTTGATCATTTCTGATTACTTGTCCTAGAAAGCACCACACCCTAAATCATCATTTCTCTACCCGCCCCATTTGGAAATGAGTGGGGGCATCACTATAACCCAGCATTACTCCTGGGAGCCAGGGATGCTAGGGAAAAAAAAATCCAAATCTGTTGCCGTTGAGTCAATTCCACGTCATAGTGACCCTATAGGACAGAGTAGAATTGCCCCATAGCATTTCCAGGGAGCAGCTGGTAGATTTGAACTACTGACCTTTTGCTTAGCAGCCGTAACTCTTAACCACTGCGCCGCCAGGGCTCCAAAATAGGGGAAAAGTGCTTCAAAAAAATAGAATTGCCCCACACATGATGTCATTTAAAAAAAAAAAAAAAAAACACTACCCTAGACCAGCGGTTGTCAGTTGGGGGTGGTTTTGCCCCCAGGGACCTTTAACAATGTCTGGACACATTTTTGGTTGTAACAGCTAAGGGTGATGATGCCACTGGCATCTAGTGGGTAGAGACCACACACGCTGCAGTATATCCTGCAATGTACAGGACATCCCACACAGCAAAGAATTATCCAGCTCCAAATGTCAGTGATGCTGAGGTTGAGCAACCCTGCCCTGTACTAATGGAAGTCTCCTTCCAATGTCTTCCCTGCATTGTCTGGGCTGTTCCCAAATGCCATTCAATCAGAAGGAAATAGGGACCTTTTTTGAAATGCCTTTTCCTCTGCAGATTTAAATCCACATTAAAAGGCTGAGATAGAGTCTGCAACCTGTTTATTTTTTTGGGCAAAGATTCCATAAGCTGATTTGGCCTATAGCATCAAGCAGGAGCCCAAAGAACAATTGTGAGCTCCTACCGTTTCATATTTATATCATTTACCATCAAAGAATCATCCCTAGAGTCATTTGGAGGGTTATGTGAGAGGCAGGCCCTCGGATGAGATGATGAGGTCAGCGGCTATCACCGTTAATTCAATTTCTCCACCATTTTTCCCCCCTGAGGCTTTTAAATTATCAAGCAATACTGGGTCACTGTTCAGGCCCCGAGTGAAGTATTTCAAAATGGACCAGAAAAGAATTGTCAGTGCCTCGAGTCTGCCTGTCTTCTGAGTTATGATTTGCCTTTTATGGTCATCTGTCTGACTCACATGTAGGAGGGGAATTCACAGTTCTGGCCCTCCTGCTACGCCACAGCCTTTCCTGTGTCTAATTAGAGTGACTGCCCCTCACTGGCCCAGCTGGTGTCTTTATTTAAGAAATTCTGTTTACTTAAAACTGTCCTCAACTAGTCTTACATGCAAATTGGTTTTCTTGTGACTGGAGGTAAAGGATTAGCAGCGCTCTTCAGAATATCAAACAAATCCTAGTCTCAGTTTTCAGTTGTTAAAGGGCAAAAAAGCACAAATCATGTTAACGGTGATCCCAGTTGTTTTCTACCTTTAACCAACCCATTTTTTTTCCCAGCTGTTTTGTGATTGTTGTGGAATCTATGAACTAAACACTATTATTGTTGGGTTTTGCTCATAACTCAGTATATGTCTTTTTATATAAGACTGCTATAGTTTTATTTTTAAATATTTAATGTATTTTTTAGCTTGTAATACATCCTTTGTTAAAAAAAAAATTAAACATTGTAAGAATATAATATATGTGATTTGAGTCCCCTTAATAGTTTGGTGAGTATTTCTCAACATTTTTAAAAATTTCATGAATATACGGATATGTTTTGGTGTTTGGGCAAAAATGGAATTAAGCTCTCCATAGTTTCACAACTTCAATACATCTTGGATATGTTCCATGTTAACACAGATCCATCTCACTTTTCATAACATCTGTGTGATAAATATTTTATTGAGTGTATATATACCATAATTCATTGACCCAATCCTCTGCTGATGGAGGTTGGTATCGTTTGCAGTTTCCCAATGCTACAAGCAGTGCTCATATTTAGAGGTATGTTTCCTTAATTACCTTTCTTTAAATTTCATCTTGTTTGATTCTTAGATGGCATTTATCTTGCTGTCTGTTGTCCCTCATGAAGGCTGATTGCTGAGTTCAGTAAAACCTTTTAAAGTGTTATGAATACTTTGTGTTTTCCATCAGTCTTTATGGTAGCTATATAATGAATGCCTGTTTTGTACCTGGCCATGTGCTAGGCTCTGTCTTCTGATGGGTCTGTGCTATACCAAGTAGAGTCAGTTTGTACCATTGTACCATGTAAGTACATAAAACCTATAAACAGAGGGGCTGTAAATATGATTTATGTAGAGGTAACTAATTCCCTTCACATCTCAAATAAGCTATTAAGATATGACTTGATGGAAGCAAATATACCAGCTCCCATGTTTTCAAGCCAACCAGGACACACACACAGCTCCACTCTGGTGTTTTGAGCTGGAGTCAAAGCTGCCCTCCTTCCTCCACAGTATTCACTCACAAGGTGAAGGAATACATCAGGGTATCGACCCCGTTACTCGCCTCCTTGTCCTGACAGCGAGTGACTACGGGCTATACGGAGGCCATGCCCCTTTTAAGAAGAGGCTGCAACTGCGTCAGCTCTGCTCTCTCTGACCTCGCAGACCTTTCACTGTTGTTTTTACAGAACCTGGAGCTGGTTGAAAAAGGCTTCAGTAACTTGAAGAAACAAATTGAAAACGCCAGACTCTTTGGAGTTCCAGTAGTAGTGGCTGTGAATGTATTCAAGTAAGTGCAGAGTAGGATAAAGGGGGAATGTGGGAAATGGTCAGAAAACAACTCCTGGAACTAACTGTACAGCAATGCCTTTTACTTTTATTTTGTTCTTTGGTTACTGCTGTTGGTTATTAAGCCTTTACTTTAGCATCCGTTAATGAGAGCCTGTGATATGACAGGCACTGCACAAGTCACAGCGAATTTAACCCACTGAGGGTCCGGGAGTCAGGTTTGGCTGCCACAGCCCCCTTCTTCTCTGCTGGGTGAAGTGGATAACACGCCGGCCCTAAAGTTAAATGTCCTTTTTGGTCTTTGGAGGTCTTTTGTGCTAACAGAAGGGCATAGCCCTACAGAGTTTCATTATTTTACGAGTCTGGTGGGATGTTGTCTTGACAAAGGGTTGAACTGGTATTGAGCTGAAAGTGTTCATGCAAGAAAGAACTTGTGTGGGTTGTGTATGTGTTGTAGTGCTGGTTTTGGTCTTATTATAATGGCCTAACCACAGCACAATGGGAAGCAAAATTTTTTAAAAGCTAGTATTTATTGATTGTTTATGAATGTAAAGCACTATTCTAAGTGCTTTACATATGTTTACTTGTCTAAGGCTCATAATATCCCTGTGAAGGAAGTGCTGTGATTATTCCCATTCTACCCACTTGGAAATTGAGGCACATAAAGAGTAAGTAACTGGCTGAAAGTAAGCCAGCTACTAACTTATGGAGGCCAGATTCAAACCCAGGCAGTATTATGTGATTAGTGCGCATTTATCAGTGGGTAATTCACCTGGGTTTTAATGGCTAAACCAAGACAGAGTCTGTCCTCTCCAGCCATCCTCAATGCTTTAACATGAAGCACTGTCTTTACAGGACGGATACAGACGCCGAGCTGGACCTCATCAAACGCCTTGCCAAAGAACATGGGGCTTTTGATGCCGTGAAGTGCACTCACTGGGCAGAAGGGGGCATGGGAGCCTTAGCCTTGGCTGAGGCTGTCCAGAGAGCAGCACAGGCCCCCAGCAGCTTCCAACTCCTTTATGACCTCAAGGTGGGCTACTTACCGTATGAAAACAAAACAAAAACCAGTGAAATAGTACACACAGTGAGGTGTCTATCTGGTTTCCTCTGTTCAGAACCCTGTGTTCAGCAGCTTCAACCTTGTAGGTTTTGTTTCCATGTGGGTGAGTTACCCCACCACAGCCTGGACTCCCAACCCTAGACAGCTTTCTTATAAAGGCGTGCTGCTCCTTACTTAAAGGGTGGGGGGTCCAGGTGAGAAGCCCAGGGAGGCTGGCTCACATCCTAACTTTTGAAAAGACTCACAGTACAGGCCCTCTTGGAAGTAGAGCAGTGTTATTGTGTGGAAATGTTATGTTGATCCTGTGGAGCTGGGATTGTCTGTTGGAAGGTTACATACAGAACCAAGTGTGTTATTCACTATGGCTTTTAACCCAAGACACCAACCATGTGACCAGTTGGTAAGGGGCTCCAACAAGCTCAGAAAAGTTTTCTGAACACTTCACGGTAATAGAGGAAAGTGGTATGGGCCTAAGCTCACTTCCTGACACAGTGCTGTCTTAAGTTCAGAGAAGCCCTCAGGTGCAAAACCAAACCACCTCAGGAGGTTTAATCACTTTTTCCATCACCAAGTACCGAGTAAACTAAATTACCTCTGGCCCAAGCAGAAGCACTGCTTATTCTGTGATACCATAAAGTTAGTTCATAGAAAGGTCATTTTTATTACAGCGTCGTATCTGGTTTCCAGTTCTCTGCCTCATGTATTTTGGAGGTTGTGATTGGACATCAAGTAGTATGTCCACAACATTGGAAACTTTGTTAGGACCATGGGATGAAAATTGTACCTAATTCTGCTTATCTTCTCGAGGTTGGTTTTTTGGCTTGGTTTTTAAACATAGTCATAGGCTTTCAAGAATACCCATAAAAAGGTGGAGGGAAGAAACCCTATTACTTTTGAGTTTGATGTTCCTTGTTTCTCTTTGCTCTTTGCAGGCCTAATACACTGACAACTGATATTCTCCTATTGACAGCTTTGGTTTTATAGACATCTTTGAAAGTCTGCTCAACCAAATCAGCTTTTTAGAAGACGCCGTAAAAGCAAATTTGCACAGAAATGCAAAGCATTTATAGCTACCCTCTCCAAGCCCCCCTCCACAGTGCATAGGTCAGGAACCCCAGTCCTTAAAGGCCATCAGGAGACCTGAAAGAAGTGGGGTAATGAGGACTTTATAACCCATTTCTATCAGGAACTTTGTTCTGACAAAAAGGAGGCTGCCACTTTTTGTCTTATTCAGCAGCTGCTAGTCTTAATTCACCCCTCAACAAAAGTGCTTTTGCTTCAGAAGTCCTGAATGTGCCTTGGCATTTATAGAACTCCAGTTGTAAGATGCATACGAAAGTGATCTATGTATAAGACCATAATTGAATATTCACTTTATTCATGTCCTTTATACAAAGCCCCTCCATAAATATCACTGTTTAGTTCAAAAGGGAAAAAAATTTTTTTAATAGGTTATTGCTTCTTTCAGAAAACAAAGCTCACTCAACATGTTCTTTTTGCCTTGGTTGCTAGGGAGTATAGAGCCAGATATATTGCCTAATTTTAGTAATTTGCTCATCAGATGTTAGCTTTCCTTCCCATTTTCTTTAGGCAATGTCTCTCTATGCTGTTTTTTTTTTTTAATTTCGTTTTTCCCATACAAAAATTTGTACATACATTGTTATGTGACCCTAATTGCTCTCCCCATACTGTGACAGAAGACTCTTCCTTTCCACCTCCGATTCCCCATGTCCATTCAACCAGCTCCTAACCCTCTCTGCCTTCCCATCTCGCCTCCGGACAGAAGCTGCCCGTTTAGTCTCTTGTATCTGCTTGAGCTAAGGGGCACGCTCCTCACGAGTATCACTTTATGTCCCACACTCCAGTCCAATCCCTATCTGAAGAGTTGGCCTCGGATATTGTTTTAGTTCTGAGCTGACAGAGAATCCAGGGGCCAATGTTTCCAGGGTTCCTCCAGTCTCAGTCAGATCATTAAGTCTGGTCTTCTTACTAAAATTTGAGTTCCGTACCCCACCTTTCTCCTGCTCCATTTTGGGCTCTCTGTTGTGTTCCCTGTCAGGGCGGTCATTGGTGGTAGTCGGGCACCATCTAGTTCTCTTGTCTCAGGCTGATGAAGTCTCTGGTTTATGTGGCCCTTTCTGTTTCTTGGGCTAATACTTTCCTTGTGTCTTTGGTGTTCTTCATTCTCCTTTACTCCAGGTGGTTGGGACCAATTGATGCATCTTAGATGGCCGCTAGCAAGCTTTTAAGACCCCATATGCCACCCACCAAAGTAGCATCAGAACATTTTCTTAATAAACTTTATTATGCCAGTTGACCTAGATGTCCCCTGAAAGCATGGTCCCCAGACCCCTACTCCTGCTACTCTGTTCCTCAAAGTGTTTGATTGTATTCAGGAAACTTCTTAGTTTTGGTTTAGTCCAGTTGTGCTGACTTCCCCTGTAGTGTGTGCTGTCCTTCCCTTCGCCTGATATAGTTCTTATCTACTATCTAGTTAGGAAATAATCCTCACCCTCCCTCCCCACCCTCGTAACCATCAAAAAATGTTTTATGTATTTAAACCTTTTCTTAAGTTCTCATACTAGTGGTCTTATATAATATTTGTCCTTCTGTGACTGACTAAATTCAGTCAGCATAATGACCTCCAGATTCCTCCATGTTATAAGATGTTTCACAGCTTCATCATTGTTCTTTATCGTTGCATAGTATTCCATTGTGTGGATATACCATAATTTGTTTATCCATTTGTCTGTTGATGGGCACCTAGGTTGTTTCCGTCTTTTGGCTATTGTCAACAGTGCTGCAGTGAACATGGGTGTGCATATATCTATTCATGTGATGGCTCTTATGGCTCTTATTTCTCTAAGATATATTCCAAGGAGCGGAATAGCTGGATCATATGGTGCTTCTATTTCTAGCTTTTTAAGGAAGCGCCAAATCAATTTCCAAAGCGGTTGTACCATTTTACATTCCCACCAGTGTATAAGTGTTCCCGTCTCTCCGCAACCTCTCCAGCATTTATTATTTTGTGTTTTTTGGATTAATGCTAGCCTTGTTGGGGTGAGATGATATCTTATTGTAGTTTTGATCTGCATTTCTCTAATGGCTAATGATCGTGAGCATTTCTTCATGTGTCTGTTAGCCGCCTGAATATCGTCTTAGGTGAAGTGCCTGTTCATATCCTTTGCCCATTTTTTAATTGGGTTATTTGTCTTTTTGTTGTTGAAGTTTTGCAGTATCTTGTAGATTTTAGAGATTAGACACTGATCGGATTTGTCATAGCCAAAAATTTTTTCCCAGACTGTAGGTTGTCTTTTGACTCTTTTGGTGAAGTCTTTTGATGAGCATGTGTTTGATTTTTAGGAGCTCCCAGTTATCTAGTCTGTCTTCTGGTGCTTGTGCATTGTTAGTTATGGTTTGTATTGTGTTTGTGCCATGTGTTAGGGCTCCTAGCATTGTTCCTATTTTTTCTTCCATGATCTTTATCGTTTTTGATTTTGTATTTAAGTTTTTGATCCATTTTGAGTTAGTTTTTGTGCATGGTGTGAGATATGGGTCTTGTTTCAGTTTTCCGCAGATGGATTTCCAGTTATGCCAGCACCATTTGTTAAAGAGACTATCTTTTCCCCAGTTAACAGACTTCAGGCTTTTGTCAGGTATCAGCTGCTCATAGGTGGATGAATTTATGTCTGGATTCTCAATTCTTTTCCATTGGTCTATGTGTCTGTTGTACCAGTACCAGGCTATTTTGACTACCATGGTGGTATAATAGGTTCTAAAATCAGGTAGTGTGAGGCCTCCCACTTTGTTCTTCTTCTTGAGTAATGCTTTACATATTCGAGGCCTCTTCCCTTTCCATATGAAGTTGGTGATTTCTTTCTCCATCTCATTAAAAAATGCCGGTGGAATTTGGATTGGGATTGCATTGTATCTGTAGATCGCATTGGGTAGAACTGACATTTTCACAATGTTGAGTCTACCTATCCATGAGCAAGGAATGTTTTTCCACTTATGCAGGTCTCTTTTGGTTTCTTGCCATAGTGTCTTTTAGTTTTCATTGTACAGGTCTTTTACGTCTCTGGTTAGATTTATTCCTAAGTATTTTATCTTCTTGGGGGCTATTGTAAATGGTATTGATTTGGTGATTTCCTCTTCAAGGTTCTCTTTGTTGGTG